GCCCCATACTATATTAGAAATGAAGATTTACATCGCGACCTTCATATTGATTATATCAAGGACTATATCCAAGATAAAGGAAACTTTTTCAGGAAAGCAAAGACCAACAGTACAGCAACTTTGAGTTATTCTGAGCTACGAAATCATCCGGACGATTTGCTCATCTGACCTTATGCTGCACACTCCGTTAGGCAAGCCAATATTAAGTGTTACTCGTCGTACTCATGCTGATGCTCCGTGTGCCTCTTTCCATATCATCTTTTCTGACAAGGATTCCAATCTAGATTCGACCAATCACAGTGAAGTGCCCGGCCGAAGTAAAGACTGAAGTTTTTAGTTCGTTTTTTAAAACGTTTTTATTAGATTTTAATATAAGTTGGCTTCTGGGCTACACCCAAGGACAACTAGATATCTACAGGCCTCCTCCATCGATTTGTGACGCCACAGCGAAGGCGATCGACATATATTTATGTCACTTTTATTTCAAACAAAAGTCAAGTAAATTAATTTTTTACAACTTAATATTTTGAATTTTAGGAATATTTTTAGGAATCTTTTTAGAATTTTGGATACTGCTTGGACATGATTTAAACGAAAGATATGATGCAATGAAAAAATCACTGTGATACTTTTAGTTTCCTGGTAAATCAGAAATCGATAACGCAAATTTCAAATAAAATGTGATAAATTAGAAAAATTGTTACATTGTGATGACAATAAAGATATTACGCAGAAGAACTCTATGACAAAATAGAGCTTCGAAAGACATTTTTACAGCCGGTATGAATGACCCATTCAATATTTTGAACTTAATTGTGTCAATAATTTGTGCTTCCCGAACTTGAAGATCGTACTGAGCATTCTGTTAGTGTTGCTAGCAGCGAAAGATCATTCTCAAAATTAAAATTGATCAAGACAGATTTACGTTCAAGTATATCACAGGAAAGACTCATAAATTTAGCTTGATGCCATTGAAAATGAAACTGTCAAATACATGCAAATAAATTATAGAAAAATTTTTACATATAAAATGCAAAAAAATTATTCCAATAAATTGTTTAAAATCAATTTCAACAAATGCTTTCTTCAAAAGTTTCTTCTCCTACACAGAAATTTAGAAAAAAAAAGGGGGGCGACTTCAGCTATTTTGCAGGCGGGCGCCGGATAACCTTGCGCCGGCGCTGGGAAAACAAGTGACACTCATGAGACTGTACACTGTGCCTGACTGAAAAATGATAATCATACACTCTCATTACATTCAATGAGTCAAGCATATTTTCGCGATGGTTCTGAAACTCTTTCTAGAAAATAATTATTACTGCATTAAAGTCCACAGATTACATGTTGTTATTGTCTTGCCCATATTACATGGAACAATGGCTGCCAGAACATACTCCAAAGAGAGGTTTGACTTCTATTTCCACCCCCAATTCAGAGGGAGAGCACCAGGAGGTCTCCCACAGCTCTCCCCTTCCACTAATACCATGGAGGTAAAAAAGGAAGGAGCGGCCAAATCGGCATTAGAAGTGAAGCACTGCTCCCAAGCTTCGGTCACCAGATGGTTGTTTTCTGTTTACATTCAGAAGCTCGCTTGACAGCACTCTGATAGTATTTCGACACAAGACAATTCCATACAAACCGAAAAACAGGACACTTCCGCATAAAAGAAACATTCCTAGTATAATGAATAATACCAATTTCTATAGTTTAGCAACATTTACGCTAAAATCACATCTTGGTTATTTTTCGATAACTAACAATAGCAATTTTGATTATGAATTTGTTTCATAAATTCTAAGCTGTTGAAGTATAAAAATAAAAATTTTAGCAAAAATGCTATGCTTAAAGAATGAAAAATACCTCACCGTAGCTTTAAAATTGTATACATTTTTCGATACCCTTAATACGGTATTCGATACTTTTATTTTATGTTCCAGACGCCAAAATGTTTTAAATAAAATAAATTTTTTTCACATCCATATATTATTGTAACATGTACTTTTTAAAATTAGTGTAAACTACTCGACAAATATAGTGAATGACAGAAATTAAAGATTCCACATGCCGGAAATGAAAAAATATGAAATATGTAGGTATTTATGCATGTGCTTCAAAAAGCATGTATCTGCCTTTAACAAATACGTAAATTTATTAAATTATTTATAAATGATTTGAAATTAAGGATTCATTATAAAACTGTAAAGTTACTGTGAAGAAATCTAAACTATTAAGGTATCTAATTTATAATGATTATAAATATTATCTAAAATATTAATAACCTTAACATTGATTGTAAAAATGACATTCTGTTGACAAATACGTTATAAACTATTTAGCAAGAATGTTCGTACTAGAAAGCAATCTGTTTAAAAGGTTGTAAAGCAATTTTATGAGATGCGTATTTAAGATAGTAAATAAGAAAGATTTTGAATATGTTGTTGAATTAAGGTAAAACAAAATCTAATAAGTAAAATTTAAAAGAATTATTCCCCTTCCTTTTATAATAAGTCAGTCAAGTTTAAATAATATATAAAAATAATCCTTACTTTATTTTTCCCTTTCAGAATATTCAGAGAAAGTTAAGTACTATTTAAGTATTTCACTATTAAATTAAAAGGTGCTCCCATTTGAAATGGACTGAATAGAGCATTAATCCAAATTGACTTTTATTTTTTTCGATTAAAGATGCATTAGAAGCTAAAAAAATCTGTCAATTTGAGAAGTATTTTAGGAAGAAGTTATATAGAAAAGAATAAGCATTTTTATATACACTAAACTTTGATCTTAATTTTGTAATCTTTAACTGAATCAAAAGAATTCCTTAATTTTTTTTCAAATGTGATTAACGAAGCTGTGAATATTTCAAATAAACCATTTGAGCAACTGTTCTGTGAAAAGTATAGCATTTAATTCTGTTCGAAGAAATACTTTTTAAAATTCTTTATATACTAAGGATTGAAGTATTGTAGAAAAAGAAATATATACATTTTCTGCATTTACGACGTAAGTATAAATATTTCATCGAACATGTTAAAACCATTGACTCATGGTAAATTACCCAAGTTTTTGGTCACCAAGAAGGATTGCAGTGCGCAAAGCAGCGTGTAACGTCTTAAGCTATTTATCGACCCCCGAAGTTCTCAGAAGAATGACCACCATGAAGTTCCCACGGAATATTTTCTCGCGAATTCTCGGAACGGAAGTGACCCGCAGTCAAAACAACTTCTTTGTTCTCTTTAGTTGTTCGAAAGGAGACATTGTTCAGTTTCCTTTCCCAAATTATAGGTTCAGTGTCCTAAGACCACCCGGTTGAGACCCCAGGGGAACGGAATTCCCACGACTTTTTCCAGGCTGTCTTATCAATAAGTGTTATCAAGTGTCCTCCCCAATCAAGAGGCGCTTCTAAAAATTATGGACAAATAAGGATCCTGGAAGTTTTTCCGACACGCCCAGGACAATTTGAACAAAATCACGGAATGCAGTTCGAAAGAGAAAAAAAAAGTGAGAGTTAGTTGCAGTAAGTAGAGAGAGAAACATTTTCTCGTGATTTTTCCAGCTCGGCCACGAGCAAATTTTTGTTTCGCTCTGTGTAGAGCGATACTAATATCTCAGTCACGAGATTTATAGCGAGGTAGCCGGGCTGCCGCTACCTTACGAAGAGCACCCTACTCGGACACAGCTCAGTCCGGCAACCACCGGCCGAGAGGCTCGATTTATTCAAGACAGCCTCATCTTGAGCCTACCCTCGTTTTGAACTTTCCAAACCAGAACTTTCATCTAAACACCAACTTATTCACCTTACTGTGAGAACAATATTTTATAAGTTTATTATAATTTTTTTTTTTTTTTTTTTTTTTTTTCATATAGACTAGAAAGAAATCAAATAAACCATCTACGCTACCCCTTGTCTTTCAAATTCGTTACAAGGGTATGGGGAAACCGGTTTAGGGCGACTCCATCTAACTTCCTACCTCCATGACTAATCCACACGAGAGGACTTTCAGTTCACTGTACATTTAGAGTGCCACCATTCCGGAATGACACTGTACATTTACAAACATATATGTCTTCTCCGGGATTCAAAAACGGGATGTTCTGTACTGTAATATGTTCCGCTAACCACTATACCGTCTGGGCTACAATCACAGATTACATAAAGGGAACTATTAACATACATTTAACACGCTGAAAGCCACAAAGGTCGCTGGTAACCAGCACTGTGTTTGTAGTGCACAGGGTCACTGGTTACTGGCAAAGCCAAGATTACTAGAAAAACACATAACTTGAGTAATTTTTCAATATATTTAAAATTTTCATTACTAAAAGTGTGTGAAGAAATTAATGCAATACAGAAGAGCATACAGAAATAATTTATTTATATATATAACATGTAAGTTTAAATATTATGCATTCATTTTGTGATACATTACATTGAAACACCCCAAGCTTGGATAATGGTTCACCACCAAAGACAGATGAACCAATACAGTCTCCACGGTATGTCACAATTTTTTTGATACAGTTGTTTGCCTTTAGCCTACTAAGGTTTATGAATTTTTTTTCACAGCACATTTACAAAATCATCATGTTACCCTAGCTTTTATTGGCATCTTTTTAAGTGCATGACATGGTAAGAGTTGGTAAGTTCATTAACTTGTCTGTTGTAATCAATATTTAACCAAAATATTCTACACGTAATGTGAAACTCATGTTGGCCAGACTCATCTCGGCAAGCCATGGAGGGTTATCTGCATTTCAGGAAGAACTTTTCAGGGAACTGGCTCATACATACGTTACACGGGGTAAAATCGCGAAAAACGCCCAAGCAGCCAGGCCGTTTACTGGGTTTCAAACCCCGGAAAGAACTATTAGTGTTCAATGACTTTACCGCTCGGCTGCTGGTGGACTTAAATTGAAAAGCAATAATTTGAATACTTCAAATAGGCCTTACTTTTCGGGCACCGGCCTTCACATTTGTAGCACTGATGTTTGTTGCTCTCATTTACTGAATATCCTGGAGGGCAGGAGGGAAGACATTCTCCTTGAAATGGTTTCCAAATTATTTCTTCTATGTCTGTTGAAATAGAAAGCCGATTCTTAATTTTCTTGCACTCTTCTTCTTCAATGCATCTTCGACCTAGATACTTTATGGGAATTGAAAAATACTTAGTAGCATTCAATAATAAAATGCAAATAATGTTTAAATCAAGCAATGCTGTATTTATTTTAACAATTTTATGTATTGTTAAAATATGCTTGATTAAATAATACAGCATTGCTTGATTAAGTTACTACTATATATGGTTATAAACTTAACACTGTCTGTACAGAAAAAGGCATATCAAACTTCACTATTTTTTATTTAAAAAAAGGAGAAGGGTTCCAGTAATGGAAGGGCTTTCATTGTATTATTATAATAATATCAGGAATGAAAATAAAAGTGAAGATACCATTTTTACAAGCAAAAAAGAACTAAAAATATGAAACACAACATTAATATTATTAATAATTTTGAGTTCAATGACCAAACACTAATGATTTTAATCATCAAAATACTCTACAAATTACCTCAGATTTTATCTTTGCTACAGTTTATTTAAATACCGTAGAAGTACATTCATAAAATCTATTAAATTATTTAATTCTAAAGACATTGTAAACATCTCCAAATGATGTCATTCTAGCAGATGTAAGGGAAACTTTCTTATACATTTTAGAACATTACTGAATTTAAGATACCTCATGTAATGTTTTGTCAACCATGAAACTCTCATGAAGCAGTGCAATTTAGCACCATAAACAAGCATGCTCATAACACACTTAAAAAACTTTTAATGTAACTTTGACTGATTCTCAATAAGCCATGCTTTGTTTTTATGAATAAGGATATAAATTAAGAGTTATCTGTACTTTTTTCTTGCATTTTGGGGAGGGGGGATGTTCAATTTCAGGACCTGCTTTCTATAGAATAACAAGAAGTGGAGTACTAAAGTTACGAAATCCTACCATCAAAAAAGTCTCCATTAATGAATACAATATGGCCTTTTATTTGAAAATGTTGAAACAATGGTAACGAAAAATTGCGATAAAAGAATACCCTTTCAAAAAGGAATGTGGTCGGAGGGCCGTAGAATCACATTCGTTACTGCATACCACTTCATTTACAGCTGGTCAGCAGAATCGATATCAATTGAACGGAAAAAAGAACAAGTGGATATGGCCAACAATGGATATGAGTGTCAGGTTCGTGATCAACTGGATAATATGTAAGTACAGTCAGAAGTCTTTAATCCGCATATCCATCATCCAGAATGATCTTTAATCTGGACCTCAAAGCTAAAAACTTTCTGCGCATGCGTAAACGCATATATGCCTTTACGCATGCACGGATGGCAAAGTGAAAGCATGTTCCGATGTCCATTAAACAAAAAGTGGAATTGCTGCAAAAAATGGATAAAGTCATGAAGAAAGTGACAGAGAGGTGATTTGTTTCTCTAATCATTTTCTGAAATCTGTTTATCAATTTCACGCTGCTGCTGGGGGGGGGCAATGAACTGGAAGTTGATCTGTCAGCACTATCCTTATCTTCAGGGCAGATTTTTTTTATTTTATTCGGCTTAATTTCTTACTAAAGTATTTTTATCTCGTGGTACTCCGTCTTGATATGATTTAAATCAAATTCATCCTCATTATAATATCCGAATACACATCAAATAGTTTTTTTCTGGTTGCAATTTCCTAATTTCGACTATGCGTAATGTATGGCTTTACGCAAGGTGCGTTGAAAGAATGTTTAATTAGTAACAATAATATTAAGATTTTTTTTTAAATTTTGATACCCTTAATCAAATTGCTCTTTATTTCATAAATTACGGTTTCATATTTTTAATTTTATAATTTCTGCATGCCATCTTACCAGATTTAAACTGATGATCTATAATCCGGAATCGCCGAAGTCCCGACGAGTCCGGATTAAAGACTTTTGACTGTAATTTAATACTAATGTGATTACAATATTTTAATAGTGACAGATACATAAATAGCATTTACATGAGCCTTGCACGAAAAATCCTTTCATAAACTATGAAATGTCATAAAACAACCACATTTTATTAAAACGAGAATCTTTAATGTAATCTGTGTCAATGACATGAAAAAGATGTATGCAATAATACATTTTAAGTGAGAAGGCAATAAAATTTTAACACAGAAAAGAAAAATAAAATTTAAAAGATTTATTTAAAAATATATACTTTATAAGTTCCTAGTGGACAGCTTTTCATGCACTTTCCATTGTAAATCACATGTCGACAAGCAATGCATTCCCGAGACAATGGTCCATTGCATCCACCAAGACATTCAGGATGACAGCAGTGATGTTTTGAAGAGCATGTCAAATTCTTATATTCACAATCTACACTGCACACTAATATTTAAATGAAAAATTACATATAACAATTTTTGATAAACATATTTTATAATCAAACACATCATTATATAAATAAATCTATTATTAAAATAATCTATACAAAACCTACAGAAAATAACTGAATCTTGCACGCCTAAAAATTAATTTACCCACGTATTTTTCCTCTTAGCTTTAACACAAGGTTTGGAATTTTTTTTTTTTAAGTATTCATATAACTTTCCCTAAGGCACTCAAGAAAGTGAGTTTTCCACAATTTTATATTCGATTTGTTTATGTAGTGGTTGCTTTTGTCTTTCTAATTTATTTCATCATGTTTTTTTTTAGGTGCACGGCTATGAATAATGAAACAATAATAGTGAAGAACTTAAAAAAAAAAAGGGACAACAATAAAAGCAGACAAAATCCAAGACCCAGCAAGTAGAAATGAAGATATTAGACATGTGTAGTACTTATATGGATGTAATCTCATTGTATTGTACCTTTTTTTTTTTAAATAAAGAATATTAGGTTCTTATGCATTATCCCGTCAACTGGTCAAGTAGAGCGATTTAGTGTTAATTATGGATGACAGTTTTCTTTATAATTCCACAGTAATGACTGGCGATTGGTGACCACTGCCAACACTCTACGGAATAATATATAAGTACTGAATATTATGATATTTTTTGGTAATTTATCCATGAATACTTTTCGATTGTTATGTTTTTTATTGTGACAATATCCTTTGGAAATTAAACAGCTTGCAAATTTTTTGCCTCTTAATTTTTCAACTACAAATTAGTAAAAACAGTGAGGAAATACCCAAGTAAATATGGTTAATTCTTGTGAAGAACTTCTGATTAACTTCTGGCATTACTTTGATGATTAATCACTATAAACCAAATCACTGCATATAACTTTTTAAAGTGACATTGTGCTCACAATTTTCATATAAGTAGGGTTACCAGACATCCAGGACTGATCCAGATAATCCTGAATCTCAGATTTAAGAGGGGGAATCCAAAATTTGATAAGACTACATAAATGGTTATAAAATGTTGAACAAAAAATTAACTTATGGGTGAAGAGAAGAAACATTACAAAACTTCAGTGATGCTTTTATTGAGATAAAAGTATTCTGCAACACATTCAGGTGTTTTTTAGATCTTTATTGGGTAATATGATCAATAAAGCTTTACATCATACACGTTTTTTTCACAATAGATCTCCAATATGAGAAAATATTTAGGTAGCAATTCCAGAATAAAGAGAGCACAGATTTAGTTTTTAGAAAACATTTATTTATAGTCATAGAATGTATAATATTACAGAGAACGGCAATACCAGCATAGTTATATTTTCCTATATCTATCCAAAGCGTTGCCAATTACAAGTTAATAATTATTAAATGTTGCCAATTACAAATTATTAAATATTACATCTTCTGTTTTTTTAAAGAGTTCAATTTTTTTTTTTTTTTAACAATCTAACATTAGTCCAAATACCTGGCCGGCTTTCTAATCACTCTCCCACTTCTAGTTCTTTGCTCATCATCCCTTGTTTCTGAGTTAGCAGAATTTGGTAGTTGTTCTTCTAAACTTTGCTCTCGGGAATATCTGGAATCATAGCCTTTTACATCTGTTTTTCTGTGCATTAACTCCTTGTTCTGTTCCTCTGATATTGTCTTCAACAGCTGAACTGTTTTCTCTAATGTCTTTTCTATTTGTTCTCAATACTGATGCACCTGATCTCAGTATATATGATCTAGGCATCTTATATATTTCTTCTACAACTGCTGGTTTCCAGTGATTATCTTGATATAATCTAACACAATCTCCTTTATTTAGTGATGATAATGTTTTTGTATGATGATCATAATATGACTTCTGTTTAGTTCTTTCTTGGTTGATTTTTCTTTTACATTTTTCACAACTTGAGGTTTAAGTAATTCTTCGGAAGTAGGAAGAATCGTTCTTGGTCTTCTACTCATAAGTCGTTGCGCTGGTGATCCTAACATCTCATTAGTTGGAGTGTCCCTATGAGCTAACAATGCTAAATAAGGATCAGCATGATCTACTTGAGCTTTCTTTAACAATTTCTTTGCCGTTTGTACCGAGCACTGTGCTAATCTGTTCGACTGTGGATGGTATGGACTGCTTGTTATATGTTTAAATTGTTATTTCTTTGCAAATTCTGCAAATTCTTTACTTGCAAACTGAGGTCCTTTATCAGATATCACTATCAATGGTATACCGTATCTTCCAAAATGAGATTTCATGTAACTGATCACTGTCTGACTACGAGTATCCGGTAGTTTGGAGATTTCAAAAAAGTTGGAATAGTAATCTACAATTAATAAGCATACATCTTTGTTAACCTCAAATAAATCTGTTGCAACTTTATACCACGGTAAATTGGGAACTTCATGTGGTACCATAGGCTCTCTTATGTTTTTATTCTGGTATTCATTACATATAGGACATTTTGAAATTTCATCTTCTATCTGCTTGTTCATAAGTGGCCAAAACAAAACATCTCTAGTTCTTTTCTTACATTTTTCTATACTAAAATGACTCCCATGAATTAAACTTAACATCTCTTTTTGAATAGATAGAGAAACAATTACCCTTTCTCCTTTAAAAAATAAGTCATTTTCCATTGTCAACTCATCTCTGTAGTCCCAAAATATTTTGACTTCAGGTTCCATCTGATGTTTCTTTTCTGGCCAACCTATAAGAATATATTTCTTATGCACTGTAGTATAGCATGACATTCACATTCTTTTTTCAGTTCATAAATTTTATCAGAGTACAAATTTCTGTATCTTCACCATTCATTATCTTCTTCTGTAGCATTCAAATATGCTCTACTCAAAGTGTCTGCTATTAATAAGTCATTTCTCTTTTTGTATCATACATCTAGATCATATTTTTGTAAATTTAAAAGCATTCTTTACAATTGCTGTGGCGCTTTAAAAGGAGGTTTCTTAGTTATGCTTCCTAATGGTTGATGATCAGTTTCAACTGTAATACATTTGCCATATATATATTGATGAAATTTAGAACATCCAAAATTAATAGCTAAAAGCTCTTTTTCTATCTGAGCATAATTTTTCTGACTTTTTGTTAGAGCTCTGAAGCATAAGCAATTGGTTGGTTTCTCTTGCAGTAAAACAGCACCTAATCCTTCAGAACTTGCATCTACTGAAAGACTTACATTCTTATTAACATCATGGAATTTTAATATGGATGCTTTTGGAACAATTCTTTAAGTGTTTCGAAAGCTTTTTGATGCTTTTCAGTCCAGTGCCAGGGAACATTTTTTTCAAGTGGAAACTGTCTTAATGGTGCAGTAATAGTAGTTAAGTTAGGAATAAATTTGGCTAAATAATTAATCATTTCCAAAAATCTTTGTACGAAGGCACATCTGTAGGTTCTGGCATTTTAACAATTGCTTCCACTTTAGAAAAATCAGGTTTTAGTCCATTTTCACATAACTCGTGCCCTATATAATTCACACGATTAACTTTTATTTTACATTTAGCCTTATTGAAATTCAAATTAATATCTCGTTCTCTCTGGAGTACTTTTTCAAGTCGTAGCTCATGTTTCTTTTCATTAGATCCCCATATTAAAATATCATCTATAATACATTCAACAACACCTATTATTTGGCTTAATTTTCTTTGGCAAATTTCTGGAGCTGAACATATGCCAAAAGGTAATCTTTTAAATTTGTATCTGCCAAAATGTGTATTGAATGTACACAAATTACTACTTTCTTCATCAAGCTGGTTTTGCCAAAAAAGCACTATTAGCATCTAAAACAGAAAATATTTTTGCGTTAGGCATTCTAGTGACAACTTCGTCAATGGTTAACATTGGATAATGTTCTCTTTTTATAGCTTTATTTTATTTTTAATCTCTAGGATCTAAACATATTCTTATTTTGTTCGGTTTGACAACTGTGACCATTGAATTTACCCATTCAGTTGGTTCTCTTACTTTCTCAATAACATTTAAATTTTCCATTCTTTGTAATTCTTTCTTAACTTTATCACGTATAGCTATGGGTATTTTTCTTGAAGGATGAATAACTGGTGTTGCATCTTGTTTTAAATGGATTTTGTATTCTCCATTCAAACAACCTAAGCCTTCAAATACATCTTTGTATTCCTCCAGTAAGTTTTCAGTGTAAACAGACATTAGTTTTTGAATCAAACCTAGTTTCAAACATGATTTTAATCCTAATATAGAAGATACTTCTTTGCCAATAACTTGGAATTCCCCAACATAATTAGTATTTTTTCCATATTGGCAGTTAAGTACTACTTTTTCTAAAGTATCCATTTGATTCCCAGAGAATGTAACTAATCTTTTAATTTCAGACTTCTGTATCGGAAGATTTAGCAATTTCACTTTGCTTTTAGAAATAACATTGCACACTGCTCTAGTATCTAACTGCAAATTTAGTTTACTTTTATTTACATTAACGTCAACAGTCCATTTCTCTTCCTTGTTATCTGAATTAAGGTTTAATGTGCCTACATAAAATTCTAACTCTTCCTCAGGGATTTGTTAATTTAATTTTCCTATCTTTTTTGTTTACCTTGACTGCTTTATTTTTTATTACATAGCTTTTACACTGATTTGCGAAATGATTTGCCTTTTTACACTTTTCTCATATGCTGGACATTTTCGATACTCACGAGATGTTTCACATTTAGAACAAACTTTTGTCTTTTCTTTCTCGGTATTTACCTCCTTGTAGGTATTCTTATTATGTTTACTTAGTTTCTTTTTCATTAAGTTTACAACAGTTTCCTCATCTTATATGATTTTCATTTGATGGCACTGATTTCAGCAGATCTGCATATATTAAGAGCTTTTTCTAATGTTAATTCTGCTTCATGTAACAATCTTACTACATCATCTTTAATACCACAAACAATTTTATCCTTTATTAAACTATCCGTTAATTGTGCAAATTCACATGTTCTAGCTTTATTTTGAAGGTCA